AAATACCATCACATGTTCTTTTGCCATCTATTTCAATATTAAAAATCAATTCAATCAATCTTCGTTTAGTGTCCAGAGACCCAGTTTCCCGAGGTAGGATGTTGTTTTCTTTGCCATCAACTTTTTGCGCCAACTTAGACGATCAGTTGTATCCATTTCATTTAAATTTAGAGCTTTCCTGTCTTGCTCGATTGTTTGCGACCAGGACTTCTTTGGACGGCCTTTGGGACGTGTGCCAGGTACTTCAACATTTGCAAGAGAAGTTATGGCACTGTTTCCACTTCGATTGACATGACCAAACCACCGCAGACGGTGTTGCCGGCATTCGTCCTTTATATCATCTAAACCAGCACGGCGCAGGATTTCGGTAGATTTGATGTGGTCCTTCAGACTAATTTGTTGCATGCATCGAAGCATTTTCATGTTGGTTCGTTGAAGTTGTTGTCCCAGTTTGGTTGTCATTGGCCATGTTTCTGCACCATATAACAAGACCGGACACAGATTTATAAAGTCTTGATCGTATTGGTAGTGGGATGTCACGCCGCATCAATATAGAGGCAAGAAGATGCCATTTATTCCAGGCTGCACGGATGCGTGCTCGAACGGCAGCTTCAGCTGTTCCAGTACAATCCAGAACATCCCCTAGATATTGAAACGATGTGACTTTCTCTACCTTAATGGCTTCAACAACATTGCTATTTCGAATTTGTTGTTGTGGATTGATGCAAGGAAGACAGTAAAAAGTAGTTTTTTGGCTCGGTGATCCAGCTATTTCGAATGTCTAGTAAGTTGGAATAGGGCATTGGGACATGATGGAACACAATGTTGGGGGTTTATCGATCTTGAATAATCTAGGTTTCTGTATGTCAGTAATTAATAATTATCCTATTTAACTCTGATAGGAGTCGTCGTGGTGTTTGCCTAATTGGTTTAGACAAGAGTCTTGTGTATCGATTCGACGAGTTTCCAGACCTGATTTTCACTGATCATTGTCTCTTGTTGAAGAAACATCTACAATACCAGCCATAAAAACTTGAAGATGGAATAAATTATAATCTACGTGTATGCGTCGTGCATACAAAATGAGTCTTCTATTTATAATATTACTTGAGCACGTAAAACATTGAAAGCTGTGCCGAATGATAAATTTTAATCAATCAATCAATCTTCGTTTAGCGTCCAGAGACCTAGTTTCCTAAGGTAGGACGTTGTTTTCTTAACCATCAATTTTTTGCACCAAATTAGGCGATTAGTTGTATCCATTTCATTTAAATTTAGAGCTTTCTTGCTCGATTGTTTGCGACCAGGACTTCTTTGGACGGCCTTTGGGACGTGTGCCAGTTACTACAACATTTGCAAGAGAAGTTATGGCACTGTTTCCACTTCGTTTCACATGACCAAACCACCGCCGACGGTGATGCCGGCATTCGTCCTTTATATCATCTAAACCAGCACGATGCAGGATTTCGGTAGATTTGATGTGGTCCTTCAGGCTAATTCGTTGCATCCATCGGAGCATTTTCATATCGGTTCGTTGAAGTTGATGTTCCAGTTTGGTTTCATTGGCCATGTTTCTGCACCATAAAACAACACCGGACGTATCATAAATTTATGAAGTCTTGATCGTAGTAGTAGTGGGATGTCACGCCGCATCAATATAGAGGCAAGGAGATGCCATTTATTCCAGGCTGCACGGATGCGTGCTCGAACGGCAGCTTCAACTTTTCCAGTACAATCCAGAACATCCCCTAGACATTGAAACGATGTGACTTTCTCTACCTTAATGGCTTCAACAACATTGCTATTTTTAACTTGTTGTTGTGGATTGATGCAAGCAAGACAAACATAATTGGACACTTTAGATAAATTACCTATTATTTTTGAACAACGTTTGTGACACCACTGGTTACATTGCTGACACTTGATTGAATTGTTACCTACACCAGCTTTACAAACTGAACAGGGCCATCGTCCAGTAACTGTGGATTGGATGGGTTCACCAGTGTTCATTGCTTTGGTTTTGCTGATGTTGACTTTGAATCCATGATCGGCCAGTCTGGTGTTCCAATCTTCAAACATCTCTGCTGCATTCTGCTCAGACGTGGCTGTTAAAACGATATCATCAGCATATATTAGATTCCAAATGTCACCAGTGCGTATCGGTTTTGTGATTTCTTCCATCACAGTTATAAATAACAGTTGACTGAGAATCGAGCCTTGGTGAACTCCAACGCCGATGTCAAATGCATTTGTGTTTCCAACCGTTGTGCTGACGAAAGTCTTAGTATTCATATACATTTCTATCACAAGTCGAACAAGATATTCTGGAATGAGTTGTCGACGTAGACTCTACCTGATTGCTTCACGGGGAACTCGATCAAATGCTTTTTCAAGTTCTACAAAAATATGTGATAGTTGTTGATGCTTTTCGAGGTACTTCTCTTGCAGTTGCCGTATGATGTGAATTGCATCAATTGTTGATATCCCCGCTAGGAAACCAAATTGATATTTTCCGATTGTGATGCACGACGTTAATCTTCTCTCAATGATTTTCTCGACAATTTTCAGAGAGTGTTCTAACAGGCGTATACCCCGATATGATGAACAGTTCAATGGATCACCTTTGCCTTTGTATAGCGGGACTGTCATGCTATAGTTCCATTCAGTCGGCATTGAACAATTTCTCCAGATTTCACGGCAAAGTTGTAGTAACGTTTGGATACCTGCAGTAACAGATGCCATGATAATGTCATTTGTGAGTCCAGAGGGCCCTGCTGCCTTTCCATCCTTCATAGCTTTTAGAGCTTCTGTAAGCTCCTCTATAGTGATGTCTGGAATCGGACCGTCGATGGGTGGAGCGTCAAAGTTAACATTGATGGGATTTGTTTCGTTTAACAGACGGTTGAAGTATTCTCTCCACTGTAGCTTGATCTCATCTTGTTCAAGAACCATCTCATTTTTGTCGTTTTTGATACATGAGGCACCAACTATGTCTTTTTTCGTACGCTTTCGTTCTATTAATATTATTATTACTATTAATATTACAAAGTTCATTGAATAGTTAATACATTAAAAGAAATTGAAATTAGAAAAATTAAGCACCAATCTTTAACCTTACTTGGAACTTTGCAGTTATCAAAAACTAATTCACAGGTTTCTGTGCCCCTCATCCCCAACTTATCCAGCTTGGAGGATGTGCTGAAACCTTCCATACCCTTTGCAAAAAATGAAAAATCAGAGGTAATTTTAAAAATCTAATAAATAAATAAAGGCTAAAAAGTTATACGAGTTAGTAAACTGCTACAACAATATATCATGTAGGTTGAAAAATTAAGCAGAAATAATATTTTAATTTTTATATTAGTTGTAACATTGCTAGATGGATCCAGCATGATTTTGAGATTTGATTAATTAATTAATTAAGGTGCAAAATCTTAGAAGGTTAGTTGAATAATTTAATTTCAGTAAAAAATTTTTTCTTTTTTTTTACAAATTTATTATAAGGATTCACCATAGAGATAAATAACATTGTTAGTATTTGAAAAATTTGTTGCAAGTAATTAAATAAAAACGCAATTTTATAAGAGCATCAAACTTAGTGAGACTGAATCATTTAACTAGAACTACACTATCGTATTGTTTCGATCATAAGCTTTACTGGAACATGAGAAACACCAGCGACATTACCGTCACACACTCGTTATAATTTGTGCAAGGAAACAGGGAAACAAATAATGACTTTTGGCTGTCCGTAAAAGCGAAAAATAGAAAAGAATTACGTTAAGACTTTAAGGTCAACGTCCCAGATCAATTACCACAATTCAATTTCAAATTAAACAGTTTATAATGAAAAATGGTTTTAATTTTTGAGATTATCAAGTAAAAAAACTGAGGAGGATAAATGTCAAACATATCGACGTTATTTCTAATTTTAAAAAAAACAGTTAATTTATCATTGTAAGCTTGACTGCGTTTTTTAATGTTACTAGAAAGGCCTCTGTTGTTATTTGCAATCATATTAGTTAGAAGAACAATCTTAAACGATCAATAACTTGCCATAATTGATCAATAGATTGCAATAACTGTAAAAATTTAAAATATATATACAGTGTAAACGTTTAACTTAGCATGTTAATACATATTAATCAATGTATTAATAAAACGCACCAACTATGGCGGATGGATTAATTTTTGTATTTTAAAATTTATTGTTGAATTGCTATTTAGCTGTGTCAATTAAGCTCAGAATGAGCTTAAAACGAACAAAATGAAGTTATCGTTTAACGAATTTTTCGAAATCAAGGAGGTAATTAAAAAAAGTTTTGAAGCAAGAGGCCGGCAAACTCTCAATTGACCTGCCAGATTTTTCGGATATTGCTGATGATGAGGAGATATGGAGCAAATTTTTTGGAATTTGTCACTTTATTTTTTATACTGATGCTCAAAATTTGTTTCCAAGTTTTCTTACTGATAATTTTGCTAAGACTACTCGGTGTGACATTAAATTTGAAAAATTAACTTCGCAAACATATTTGGACGAAAAAATAAATGCAAATTTCTGAATTTGCTCAGTGAGCATGGCAGCATGCTTAGTTATGTGCAAAGGAAGGTTAACATAATCATATACGGCACAGCTGACAAGGATGCAAACAACTCATCCGCTCACCACAACAATTATATAAATGGTGTTGTGCCATTTGAAAGTAATTCGAATGATCAGAGAATCCTATTAAGTGTTTATCAGGGTGTGATAAATAAAACTATTTTCGTGAAAACTATGTTTGTAATTTTATAACAGTGAGACATATAAAGGAGGAACGTTCTACTCCTCTTCGTCTGCTGGCTGAAAATGATTTTCAGTTTAGAGCATTCACAAACGCAAGACTACATTCATTGTCTAAAAGCACTGTCGGTAATTCCTCACCCAGCAGATTTAAGTCATTAAGTAACAGTTTCTCACCCAGTCATTAAGTAACAGTTTCGAGCGTGCGGTTAAGAGCATGTCCAATGCTTTAACTGACTCCATGACTCAGCTTCATGCTACTTTGTCCACATTGGGCAATAGCGTTTCCGCATGCCAACAACAAGTAACAAAGATTAATGAAACTCCAATGTTCGAAACCATGACTAGGGCTCTTTGGACTGTAGAACAAGAGCGAAAAGATGATGAGCAACGGTCAAACTATGTTATCATTTCCGGGCTTGAACTTGAACAGGGAGGTAATGACAAAGATATGGTTTCTTCAATTTGTGAAAACCACCTTCCTATCAAATCCCAGATTGTAAGAACTCGTCGTATTGGAAAGTCAAAATTGTGTGTGACTTTAAGAAACTCATCAGCAGCCGAAGACCTGATTGCATCATCAAGGATTCTCCGCTCATCACCAGCGACAACCTGCTGATGATCAGCCCTTTCGTTCAGTCAACTAGAAATGGGCACCTTCGTTTGGCCCTGGCTAACGTTCGTAGCCTATAGAAAACAAACGACCTCAGTTTATTTTTGTCAACTTATGACTCTGATATATTTTCTGTTATAGAAACGTGGCTCACTCCAAATGATCCGGATAATCTGTTTTTGCCTCCTGGTTTTAGTTTTGTTCGAAGGGACCGTGGATCACGTGGTGGTGGCGTGGCCTTCATCATTAAAAATACTGTTTCTTACAAGGTCGTCTCAGTACCCTCCATATATTCTCACATCGAGATTGTCTCTATTGACGTTCCTACCTCAACTAAGAATTATCGCCTTATTTCCTATTACCGTAGTGGTGGTTTTGACGTTTCAGCTGAGCCGTATGCATTTGACAGTGTGGGATGTATAAAAGAACTCTGCAAAGGTGGTGTTGTCTGCTTAATGGGGGATTTCAACCTTTCTCCCATCAACTGGGTTAATTAATCCGCACCTAATAATACTATTTACAATACATTCATTGAGCTCTTCAACAAACTAGGTCTACATCAACTTGTCTACAGACCGACTCGAGAAAGTAATATTTTAGATTTAGTTTTATCAGATGATCCAGGCCTACTTTTAGATTTGAACATGTCCTGTCCGTTTGTGTCTAGCGATCATAATTGCATCTTATTTGAAGTTAGCTATGCTGCCTGCGGCACAGTGGATACAAGTCAAAATAATTGCATATCTTTCTACAATTTCAACAAAACAGATTTCATAGGAATGAACGATTTCTTCATGAGTATAAACTGGGAATTCCCTGCCTTCTCGTACTCTTAAGCTGTTGGGTGATGTTAGTTTCACCTCTCAGGTGGTGTATACAACTCTGCGTAGTTTGAAGAGTACGTCCTCGATGGGACCAGATGGTATACACAATATATTGCTCAAGAGCTGTGCTTCAAGTTTGGCAATTCCACTGTGTCACATTTTTGATGTTTCCTTTAAAAACAATGTACTTCCTACCAGATGGAAAACAGCAATTGTTACTCCGATCCATAAGAAGGGTCCATCCAATTGCCCGGGTAACTACAGGCCAATTTCACTTACCAGCTCGTGTTGCTGAGTAATGGAAAAAATCATCAACAAACAGATGTTATTATATTTGTCAGTCAACAAATTAATTTCCAGCTTCCAACATGGCTTCTTGTCTGCTCGATCCACATGCACTAATTTGCAACAATTTCTTAGCGATTGGATGTCGATTCGCCAACAAAAGGAATGTTGTGATGTGATTTACCTATATTTCCAGAAAGCTTTCGATTCTGTGTCGCACACCAAACTAGTAGATAAACTAAAAGCTTATGGAGTTACCGGTAATCTCCTTTTCTGGCTGACCGATTTTCTATCTGAACGCTCTCTACATCATCTCTCATACCTGTCTCGATTGCATGCGGTTGGAATGGATACTCTGGAGCGTCGTAGGCTGATTTCTGATCTATGCCTTCTCTACAAAATACTTCATAACCTCGTTCAAACTAACCTAAATAGTCATTTCATTCCATCACTGTACTTATCAACTCGAGGACATCAAAGCAAATTGCGTGATTTTAACATTAGTGACAACTCAACCAAATATTTCTACTGCAACCGAATCATTCGAATATGGAATACGTTGCCGGCAGATGTCGTTTCTTCAACCTCATATGCTCTCTTCAAAAGTCGGTTGCGTTTTTTCGATCTAAATAAATTTCTAACTATTAAATAACTATCAATATTATGTTTTCCTTTTTTTTCCGGATAATATTCATTTTTATTGTACTATTTCACGAAGATGTGTTATCAATGTCAACTATGATTTTTCTAATTTACTTTTTTTCTGTTTCGACGGACATTTTATAGAACTTGGTTATTTTTATTATTTCTGTCTAGATAAGTGGTTATTATGGCCCTCTTGGCAGTTTTGTCAATAAATAAACAATGAATAAATATATATGCTGGTGAAAGACTATAATTAATATATATATGTAGATATTTGTTTGTGTATATATATACTTTCTATAACATATATATGTATGCACTATTCTGTTTATGTGTGTATGTATAATATTCGTTTTTTTATTGTACTATTTCACGAGGATGTGTTATCAATGTCAACTATGATTTTTCTAATTTACTTTTTTTTCTGTTTCGACGTACATTTTATAGAACTTGGTTATTTTTATTATTTCTGTCTAGATAAGTGGTTATTATGGCCCTCTGGGCAGTTTTGTCAATAAATAAATATTTTAATATTATAAAATCAATTATAAATTAATACAATTTACATTCAACTATATTTATAGAATTTGTTTTAATTTTCTTTTTGAATATATAAAAAAAAGTTTTAGTAAAAATTATAAAACTAACTAATGTACTAATCTAACCTCTAACTTAACTTAATTAATAACTAAAAAGACTAAGCACTAAACTAAGTACATAGAACTGGATACAATGTCATTATTTCGTGATCCGGCTGTTGAATTTGCAGAATCTGGTAAAAATATTAATTCGTTAATTGCGTTAATTGATTTAGGTGCTATACAACCTCGAGGAATAGCCTTCTCAATTACATGCATAGTTGTTGGAGATAAACTAAAGTCTTTATCTTTAAAATTTCAGCAATCATGGTATAATGGGCAAAAATGTTTAGAATATAGTATCTCTAAAGATGAAGCCCATTGTTTTTTGTCGTCTTTTTAATAAAAAATATATAAGTAATGGTAACAAAAAGAAATGAAAGAAAGGGCCAAAAATCGAAAAGTTCTCATTTTTTAAAACAAATTCCAAAATAAGTTCAAGGAAGACTCATTAGCATTATGTGTGACGAAGTGAGCGACCGATCCAACAAAGAACTTATGAGCATCGTTATTAGATAGAAAGTTTGATTGCCATAGTTCATGTAAAAAGTACTGAAGCTAAGTTCAGTGGAAATAAAATTGCAACAATTTAAACGTTTGAATCGATTGAAAGAATTATTCGACAAAAAGCCAGTATTTATTCATTGATGGGCGCATGTTTTGAATTTAGTTTTACAGGATGCCTGCAAATCTACAAAAAACTGCGGTAAAGTATTTGATTTGCTGCGGAAGGTTTGTGTAGTTGTAGAGAGTTCGCCGAAGCGTCATAATGAATATATAAATGCTATTAGAAGTTTACATTTGGAAAATGGTTTACTTGCATCGCAGTCATTATCTAGGACGAGATGGTCTGCAAGATGTGTAAATTTGATAATTGCCAGCTATTATTGAGTGTTTAATATGACAATGATTCAGATTCGGCTGGCTTACTCAAAGCAATTAAGGAACCACTCTTCTTTTTTGGGCTTGAATTTTTAGTTCAAGTGTTTATGTTGGTAAATGTAGCGTCACAAGCTCTTCAAAATAAAGAGACTGACTTGGCGGCAGCGGAAAGGTCCATAAATGAATTAAAAGCTGCACTGAAATGCATAGATTGTGAAAAAGAATTTAATATACTTTTTGAAAAATCAAAAGCTTTTCATGACAAACTTGAAATCGAGAAAGGGTATAAAAAAAATAAAAGCGCGAAAACTTCCAGCATCTCTTCAAAAATGTGTTTAAGATCAGTTTATAACAAAACCTGCTTCATATAATTCATTCCTCTAACATTAACATTAGATCAATTTATAGTTCAAACGCGGGTCGATTTTTTCAGACCAGTTTTGGACTGCAATAATTCTTCAATAAAATCAAGATTCAGTACAAACTGTGCTAAATTAATTCAATATATTCCGTCTGTTTTGCGAAAATCGTGGTATAAAGAAAGCATCCGAAATCTGGCTAATCTTGCTAGAATTGATGATGAATTAGATGAATTATGTTTTGTCGAATCTAAATTAATGCTGAAGTGTGAAAATTATAATTAATAGAATCTTTATTAAGCTTAGCTCAAGCAATGGTGCATCATACACATGACAAAGTGTCTAAATGTTATTATGAATTGATAATATTTTAACCGGTTTTACCAGTTACTTCCGCAACCTGTGAACGATCGCATAGCAAAGTAGATATAATCAAATCTGAATTAAGATCATCAATGACTTCTGAAAAATTAGAACAGCTAGTTCTAATGTCATGTCAAATATATTGAACGCCATCAATTTATTAGTCGTAGTTGATAGCTTTGCGTTAACATCAAGAGGTCTTCCAGTTTAAGCATGCAATTAATTGATTTTCTGCTTAGAGTACTTGTATATTATTTCTAGCTTCAATATTTTGCTTTGTATACATATTGTTTTATATAATCATAAAATTAACAAAACATTTTGTGTTGCAATATTAGATAAATTCTAAACGCGAAGCCGACGCGGTATAATGACAATGATTTTTTTTTAGCATTTTTTAAACTGTTAAAATTTATAAAGTTTGAAAGCTTTTCTTTATTTGTTATTTTAAAAAGAAATTTTAAAAAATTACTTATGTTTTCCCTGTGATGTAAAATTTTATGAAAAACATATTTTAAAAAATAGCTGGTATTAATAGATGCTCCACGCTCCACCTATCAGACCAAATCAAAAACATGTAAATAGGCGACCAGCTTTTACAATTTTTTTTAAATTATGCCCCTTTTCTGCATCGCAAACACCGATATCTTTTATAATTTTAGCCCAATTTATTATAAACTTGTGTTATATTAATCCATTATGCCTATGCATCTATTTAAGTACACACCTGTATAGTAAATGATGTAAAAAAAATCAGGACCGCCCTGTCAATAAAAGCCAGCTACGCCCCTGCTGCTATACAAATTTTACTTTGCATCTGCGATTATTTAATTATAAACAGTAAATTTTTATTTTGATGTGATTACTTTATCTTTTTTTACAACATGGATCATTTCATTTATAAGTAATTATAGGTTGTACTGAAGCTGTGGTATTATTTCGTGTTTGGTGCCTTTGAGAACTTTTTTAAAAGACGCTTTAAAAATAGTAGCAATTAATAAGTAGTAAAATTTGAAATAAACTCCTCAACTATTTTATTTAATATGCACTCATCAACATATCACCGTGGAGAAAGATTAAATAAATTTTTGCTGTTTCACATAGCGTAGCGCAATAGTTTAATGGTTGCAGCGACAAGGTTCGAATGGGTATTTATAAGCGCTGTGTTAGTTGTCGATACCTCTGATAAATACACAAGGAAGATTTGTAAAAAAATGAAACACCCGATAATAAATGATAGAAATAAATTAATAACATTTGCTATATCAGTGATAATATTAACGTAGAAATTAAAAAACATAATCCCAACAGAAAAACGACAAATCAGATAAAAGCTTGCGAACATTATTATTTAAGGATTATACAATTTGCATGGCCTTCTTTGAAGATAATTTTAAAGTTCATATTTATGAAGTTGACTACAACTATTAAAAAGCAATTGCTCTCTTAAAAAAATGAATTATCGTTATGTCAACCTTCTCAATGAGAAAAGCAGTGATTCCATGTTGAGGTTTTTCATTGAGCGGGTCAGTTTTAGCATAAACAACATACACATCCGCTATAGCACCGTTTGTTATCCAAAATTTTGATCCATTGATTATAAAACAATCGCCTATAAGACAGAACAAAACTATTTATGAATGTCAAACATGGACATTTTAAAATAAAAAATAGGAAACGCTAACAAAATTAAAAAAATTGATGAAAATATGAAAAACTTAATAGACGTAATGGCATAATCGTCATCTTTGGGCCGTACTCTGCATCTACACAAAAGTCCAAATGCAGATAATGCTAGAAAAGTTAAAACCCAGGCCCGGTTTGCCATTCAACGTCATAGGTTTGTGCGCATCACCTAATGGCAGCTATTTCAGATTTTAAGCAAAACAATTTTAAGCCTCATCAAATGTTTTCAAATAGTATTCATATTATTTGTCAATTCAATGTTGCACAATATTTCCTTCCGTTGTACTCCATCTTATCGTTCATGCGGCTAAGTCATATCAATTTATTTCTTTTAATAATTTAGAAAATGTATAGATCCCAGCCTACCGGCTCATTACTAATCCCGTCTTTTAACAAATTTTCATTAATTCTTCCTAATATATAAATCACATAAGATTAAACAAAATTATTTCTTCAATCACAATAATATGATTAATAACTCAATTCTAATAATCTTAAGTCTAATAATAACATTAAAAATAATAAGTATAAATTTAATATTTTACTATATCTCTTTAGTATAAGATCTATTTATTAAAAATCTATTAATATCTCTGACATCCTTTCTTCTTATTCACCTGATTTTCTTGCTCTCACTGAAACCTGGCATGAAAATACTGACTCTCGCTCACTTATAACTGCTACTGTCACTAACTACAAATTTGTTGAACTTTCTAGACCTCCTAAAAAAACCATTAACGTCTGCATTTTTTATAACTCAATTTCTTCTCTATAGCCTGATGATTTGCTAATCATTTTATTTCATTTCATTTGAATGTCTAGTTTTTTTTTCAAAATTTTCACATTGTATTTCTTTATTGTCTCTTTATAAATATAGACCCCCCGCCTTCTCTTTCTTTGTTTATAGAAAAAATTTGTACTTAATTTTGAATACACCTTAACCTTCACTTAGGTTTCTACTACTATTAATAATTCATCTTACCATTTTTAACTCACAATTTCTTTGCATTCCATTATTAGCTGACATGCCACATTTCCAAATTTAAAACACTCTGTTCATCCTATCCATGGCTGTGATAAACGACAACTAATACCAGCTGACAAATCTACATATTGCTGAAAAACTTTAACACTCGAAACTACTGACAAACTTTGTTGAACGATAATTCGAATGCCAACAGTAATAGAAACACTAAACTAATCTAAGTAACTACATAAATCACCCTTACGACTTCGCTTCAAACCTCGCTATCGACTTCGCTACACCTGTCCATTATATACAAGAGATTCTGAGAATCCAAAGATTACAAATATAGCAAAGATAACGAATAATCAAGTTAGCGCAATTTGACCAGTGCAGCAGTTATAACAATATCGAACTAAATTTTTAACAATTGACAAATTTCACCCCAATAGAAACCCTTCCACACATACATATAAAGATTCCATTTGCTTGACTGGATTGAAAGTTAGTTTTGAAAGATAATTTTTGTTTAAAAACTAAAATTTGAAAATTAAAGTTGAAAACGAACCATTTTTTAATGCAGTAGTTTTCATTGAAACAACATCAGAGCCCGCATTGTGCTCACTCATGGCAAGAGCCCCAACATACTCACCAGAACAAAGCTAGCAAATAAATTTGTTTTTATTTATTAAAAATCCATTTATAGGAGCTATATTAAATGCTATATTTTTTCGGTATCGATTTGAATGTGCAATGTGTGCCATGACTATTTGTTTGAAGATGGTCGCATGTAGATATATATGTGCACATTTGTATGAACATTATATTTATATATATATATATATATATATATATATATATATATATATATGTGAAGTTGTGACGATAGTGATGATAATGATTGCGCGATTGAAATATGCCGCCTGTATATTTTGTGAAATTGTGACGATTGTGATCATAATGATTGCGTCTTTGAGGCGTGCCGCCTATATATATCTATATATTTTATTAGACATTCTATGCATGTATATTTTGTTATTTGATATGCTATATATGCGACGCTGCTGTGCTGTTTTGTATATAGGGAGTATAGCAATATATGGGACGCGTGCGACGCGCTGTTCTGAGTATAGGAAAAGAGTATAGATGCGAGTATAGAATTTTCTATGATATAGAAAGCGTTATGTAGATAGGGCGGTAAAAACATATAAAAGGCCGCGAGTTGAGATATATGGAGGCGGGTCGTTTGTTATTTTTATTTTAGGTTTTGTTTCTTGCTTGGTAGTTGTATTATTAATAGATTAATTTTGGATTTATCGTTTTTTTTAATAAAGACGGAGGTTTGATTTGTATTATTTTGTTTGTTAGTTTATTTCTTTTATTGAATAAAAGAAGTGTACACTTGAAGTTTGGCTCGGCTTAATTATTCTACCTAAAATAATGGATGTTGAAGAAGACTTGCTGATAGTTGACGAGGTCGGCGTCTCCAGTCAACAAGCAGGGCGCGAACAAACTTCCGCCCGGCCCGTGTTTTCAGACCCTGAGAGGGTCTATTGTAGAGTGGCGGATCCCGGCCAGGAAAGACTCCGCCGAAGCGAAGGCTCGGGTGGATATTCGTATGCGGACGCGATTCGCGTGGTGCGGAATTCGAATGTCACCCGGCAAAAATCTACATATATATATATATATATATATAGTTATTAAAAATATCACCGCATTTTTCGCATTGTTGAGTTTGTAACTAAGTTTTTCAATTTTTCTAACAATTATTTTGCCGATATTATTCAAATTAATAATAAAATTTTTAATTATTTTGGACTGCATTTTTTATATATTTTATATACCATTTTCCTTTTATTTCCAACAAAGCCTCTTTTCTTCCCTTACGGTTCTGCGAGCCTCAACTTTTAATTTTTTATAATTGATGAAGTTGGATTGGATAGGGTTGTTTTTAAATATTTTGAATGCGTTTTGCTTTTGTTTAATTGCATCTCTGCATTTATTATTAAACCAAGGATTTATTATCTTAGACTTTTTATTTTGTATAACCGGGGTTGTTTGTTTTATTATTGTTGTTATGGTTACTATCCATATGTCCATTGAGTCGTCATCTATTTTCTCAAATTCTTTTCCCGTTTCTTCTGTTATTTTTAGAATTTAAGCCAATCGGTTTTATTATAATTTAATCTTTCTTTTTGATTGTTTGTTGGGGATTTATTTTTAATTGTTAGTATTATTGGGAAATGGTCACTGCCATGAAGATCTTCCTCAGCATCCCATTCAATATCCTCAAAGAGGGATGGAGTTGACAAGGTACAGGTCAATTATGGAAGATGAGTTTGTGTGTTCTTGAAAAAATTTTGTTTTGATTGGTTTGATGAGACAGAGATCATTTTCAACTATACTTTTTTCCAATTATTTTCCCTGAGGATTTGAACTTTGACAACCTCACAACTGACTGTGCTCATTGAAATCACCCAAAAAGAGGAAAGGTTTAGGGATCTGTTCGACTATTTGATTTATTTCCTTAGATTTCATCAATGATTTTGGGTTTATGTACCCATTGCATATTGTTATAGTTTTATTATATGTTATTTTAGAGGCTACAAAACGGTGTTTAGTAGTAATATGATGTTGAGATTGAGTCATACTGTGATGAACAAAAATTGAAGTTCCAGCTGATGGGTTTGTTTTTGTTGAATTGGCTGCTTTGTAGTATGCCACATAATTTTTTAAAATTATTTAATTATCTTCAGTAATTTTTGTTTCTTGTAGACAGATTATATGTGGCTTACGTTTCTGAATTAATATTTGAAGCTCAGGGAGGTTGTTCTTCATCCCACTTATATTCCATTGGAGAATTTCAATGTCGTTGGCATTTTCATCTAAAATACGATTGGGAGAAGAAATGTTGGTGATATTTTTTTCCTCTGCCACTGTATAATTGATTAGTAGATTTCAAGTTGGTTAATTTTAGTTTATTTTCATCAGACATTTTAATTTACGTGATCGAAATGTTGGTTGGCTGGCTATCTAAGCATTATTATCGTTATTTAAATGTAAAAATGAAAGCTGAATTAGTAAAAAGATAGTTTTGCTGATAAAATACGTTAAAACGTACCTTGTTTAACTATATTGTATATATTGAAATAAAACTCTTAAAAACCCTTCTTTCTATTAAAATTTACTTATTTGTCATTGAAATTTATTGTTTACATATATAATCAATCAATCAATCTTCGTTTTGCGTCCAGAGACCCGGTTCCCTGAGGTAGGACGTTGTTGTCAGTAAGGTCCACCATTCAATTGAAATTGAACTAAATTTGATTAATTAATTAAATTTAATTGACGCTCATCGAAGAGGATACGCTTGTTGGATAGCTTATTCCAAATTACACCAACTATCCTAAAAATTTCAGCTGGCTAGGTGCACCGGAAGTAGGTAAAAATTGTAAAATAAAACACCACATGACAAGATTACAGAAAGACAAGCACAAAAAAGGAAGGAAAAACATTCAAAACCTTTATAACGGCATAATTTAACCAAATGATGTTGAATTGCGATCTCAAACAAAGTGTAAAACGGTAACATTGCATAGTTTTTTTTTTAGTTTACTTAGTAGACACTACGCAGTTTACAAATCAGTAATGAAAATTAATAAAACCAGTATAAATTGAAAAATGTAGCAAAAACGTCTTTTTGTCTGAATATTGAAAAAAAATTCAATGTTTATTGAAAACCAACATTGTAATATTAAGGATAATAAAATGTGACAATACTACTTTACAAACCCAAATGACAACGACCTTATTAAAAGTAACTTTTGCCACAGCAATGTCCTAACAATAAATCTGGATTCAACATAAAATTTGAAAAATGAACTAAAATTAAAGATCAAGACCTTGGGAAGGTATCTATCCTTTTGTTCTTCTGTTGCATACCTATTGATCTGATTGACACAAAGATTCGAATGAGCACCATAACTTAGTCCTATCCCTGGGCTAGCACGGCTAATTTCCTCCATCACCAGACAATGATCCAGATAACTTGCTTCTGCGCCTCCATAACAAGCTGTTTTTGTTTGTCCAAAATAATAAAAAATCAATATATAACATTCATAACTGGAAACATATAATTAATACAGAAGTTGGAAAAATATAGACTGAAAGTAATGTGACTAATACATAAAATCCCCAACTGAAATTCTCTTTATATATACGTGTAGTTTATTTGCTAGTCTGAATCCCCTACACTAAAATCTGTTACATCTACTCTCGGTAATTTAGTCCAGATACACGCACAATCAAACACACATGCAAAGTGTATACGTACATTGGAATATACATACATCAAAAAAAAATAAATAGAAGTGATGAGCAGATAGTTTGAGTCTGGAAGCGTAAGATGAACAAATATTATAGAGAAGTATAGTAGTTATAATTGTGTTGAGCTCGCTGTAGTGTTGATACCAGCCGATAGATGGAATGGCTCAAAATCTTTAGTTTGGGTAGAAAGTTAAAGGACGTGAGTGATGTTACAAAGAACAGATTCAACTAAATTTTTAGGAGTGTACCTTCAAAGTAATTTATCCTGGTCAAAACACATCCACTTCATTATCAATAAGATTAATTAATTCGTCAGCAACATTAGCATACTTCGAGCCAAATTAAATAGCAACTTAATTAAACCTTTTATTACAGCTTTATTTATCCGTACTTATCATACTGTAACATTATATAAGGATTACTTGATCAGTCGTTTGTTCAAAATTCAAAAAAGATGTTAGAATATTTTATAAACTCAAATACAGAGACCATGTCACTCATCTATTTTCAGTGATTAAGATTTTGACAATAAAACAACTCTTCGTATACTATTTTTGTTTTCAAATTTCTTCGCAACAAACTACCAGCATATTTTAAAAATTGCCTAAGCTTAGCATGTGACTTGAACATCAGAACGACACGCCATTTAAAGACATTTTACATCCACTCACAGAAATCCTTTGTGTTTTACAAATTTGATGTTTGCTGGACCTAAGCTGTGGGAAAATACATTTCCATGCAACATAAAAATCATTGCTAACATTGTTTTGTTTAGAAAAAAGTTATTTGAGTTATTATTAACAATTGATCCACCATAAAATCATATAATAAATATATTTCGATTTTATTATCATATTAATCTAATTTCATATGTCGAGATATTCGTTTATTTTGTTGCCAACCTTTTATGTCGATTTGCTCTTTGAATTTCATTTCACTGTTTTGGTTGCATTTTGTCAAAGGACGCTTAGTAACTAATTATTACTTAATATAATAGTTCTGGCGTTCATATTATTTTTCCTCTTCTATTTTTTCCCTTTCTGAAGTGACACGGTGGCCTATACAAGTTAATTTTCTTATTTGGTTTCCGAAGACCATTGATTGCCATTTTATATTGTGCAGTTTTTTTGGTTTTGAATAAATAAATGCTTGGTTTGTGGCGAGGATGGGTAAAGACTCCTTTATTTCGAGACGTCGATGATGAGGATCGTAACAGAGTATGGTTTTGTGGTCGTCGAGGATTATTCTTTTCGGTAAAAAGGCTAATAAAAAGTTTATTACACTCTTCCTATGTTCAGAGAAATCAACAACACGCCACAAACAGCATATATGAATACGTGCTAAACGACGCATCACATACGAAGCCTGTTAGATGGTTGTGAAGTCTATGGTTTGTTGACGTTCGTGTATGGCCGTTGCTTTTTGGCTATTCCGGGCGGCGGAAATGGTTTCGGATTGTATTTTGTTTAACATATGTTAATTAAATTAAATTGTCAATGTCGCTAAAGTATTGTCATCGCTGGAAACCTGAGTTAGTCGATTTGACGGTTGGTTTTCGAGCAGTGATCAAAGTATCAAGAAAAGCAAGCTGATTATTGTTGCTTACCTCAATAATAAATTTTAAACACGATCTGTTTTGGAAAAGGTTTTGAAGAGAATGTAAGTCAGCGATAGATTTGTGAATAATGAAGATTTTGTCGACATATCAAGCGTAAACAAGAGGTTTGTTGCCGGGATCAAGAGAAATTTTTGTATCCAGACTACTTACATAGAAATTATAAAAAAGTGGGCCAAATGATTGTGGCTTACACTGCATTAACAGTCGATACCCAAATTGTTTTAGTTAAACGTATGTCCCAATAGGTTTAGTCTCTTTTTTATTCTTTATAATGAAACTATGTCAAACGCAGAGCTGCTTACAAGCTATTCTATACTTATAACTAAACTTTCGTGCCACAAAGGCCGTACACTATCCACACCACACGACGCACATACACATTATGCATGCACGCGCAAGCACCGCATCATACAGGTATGATGTTCTTTGAATTTCGCACAGACAGTATTCGAACCATTCAATCGCGTAATTGCAGCGCGAGAAATAGCACTTCTACTGACTGAGCTAACTCGGCGACCAATAGTGACGATCGGCGGCTAATGATAAAATGCTGTTACCCAAGTTAAAATCAAGGTATAGAGATTGCCGGTTTACAACGTTCTTTGTCTGGAAGTTGCTACGCTATGTTTGTAGAACTGGCTCTTTGGAGCTGTTCAAGAAACGGCTAAAAACCCATTTATTCAACGAAGCTGGTAAATGTTATCCGATAATAAAAAACTAATAATAGTCTAAAACAAGTTTACGAATGGTCTGTTTTGAGCGGACTGAGAATAAATGTCAAAAAAACTAAGTGTATGATATTCACTGGCAATAGTATAAATGAAAGTATTGAAATAAATTTTAAATTAAATAACATTGTTATCGAAAAAGTATCTGTTTTTAAACTCCTGGGTGTATTTATTGATAGTCTTTTAAATTACAAAGACCATATTAACTATCTATTGGTCAAAATAAATAGAAATATTGGAATCATAAACAAAATTAAATATCAGTTACCATTTCAAGTTTTACATCTTCTATATTATACATTAATATTCCACATTTATACTATTGCAACCTGATCTGGGGAAATACATATAAAACTTATTTATTGAAAATTTTCAATGCTCAAAAAAAAGTATTACGATACATTTGTATAGATAGCCACTCGTCTAAAGATGTTTTTAATAAAATGAAAATTTTATCTATCTTTGAAATAAACAATTTTAAATCATGTTGCTTTTACATAAAATATTTCATGGGGATTGATATCAACCGACACAATTCTTCTCGGATCAATCAAACCGTTGCTTAAATCGGCATTGACAAGATCAGTGATTGATCGCATGTTCAGGGTTAAAGCTCCAAAACGTGAATACCCAGTTCAACAATATTTGTTTTTATGGGACGAAAAAATGGAACTCACTCCCGGACTATATCAGATCCTCTTACTTTTTACTCTGTCTTTCACGGTATCGAGTTTTATTTAAATTTCTGTGTGTATATATATATATATATATATATATATATATATATATATATATATATATATATATATATATGTATGTATGTATTTTATATTTTCACATATTAAATAATACTTAATCTATATACAATTTAATTCAAGAATTTACTTTGTCTGACTGAATGGTTAGCTAATAACTTTCAATATCTCGTTTATCCTTTGTTTTGTATCTACTTATTTTTTTTCTTTTATATTTTGATCTTATTAACTTATGATTGTATTTAATCTATTATATATATTTGTGCATAAATTTTGTCTTTCGGTTCTCTTATGTAACTCTTATGTAACTTTTTATTATTCTGTGATTAATTTTATTCAATTTCAATTATTCCTGCAATTTTTTTATAGTTTATTTTATTCTTAATTTTCTTGGTTTTGTTATAATTTATTTGCTTTTTAATCATACTATGATTGACATTGAATTCAATTTATTGTTTCCATTTTAAATCTTTAATTTATTACCTCTTTTCCGTTTTTATACATTAACATTGCTATTACTATTCCATACTGTGACTGATTTTCTCTATTTACAATTATTCAGGTCAAATATTTTTTTCATTTCATCTTTTAAGTATTGTTCTTCAATTTCAATATATACGTATATGATTGTTTAGGTACTGTTTATATGTAATGCTTACATATATATTGGAGAGTGTGTGTATGTATGTATGTGTTTGGGTGAGTGGGTGTGTGTATAGGAGTATGTGTGTCTATAAATGTAAGTATGTATAGTATATGTATGGGTGTGTAAATATGTGTATGTATATATGTGTATGTATTCATATATTAATTGGTTTTAAGCATTAAAAATTTTACATATTTTACATATATGCTTATATTAATTGGTTCTATATGTATACATATATTAATTGGTTTTAAACATTATAAATTATTCATATTTTATATATATGTTTTAAAAATGGATTCTTCAAAAGTTTTAGAAAAATTATTTAATTTACATTTATTTAATCGAACTATGAATTTATGGATTACTTTTTTGAATGTTGGGGATCCCGCTTAGTTAAGATTTACTCTTTTGGAATGCCCCATTATGTAACAAATTTATTGTTTGTTCATAATAAACGAATTGATAATTGGTAGACGTTGTCCGAAAATTGCTGTCTTATAGTTTTGGAAAGGGTTTAATAGTGTAAATATTTCTATTTTAACTTTAACATATACATAAGGAACAATTATTTTTATCTAGTTATTTTAAACAATTTTTCAACTTAATTACTGCTATAATGTATTATTACATTCTTCAGCATGTATTAACTAATTAATTATTAATTAATTAATTGAGAGACTCAGACTGCTGATTGATGATGTTTATTGCAAGCTGTAATTTTCAGAGGACTGTTGAAGAGTGAATTTTTAATAATAATAATAAATGGGGGTGCCAAGTTGGGAAAGAAAGAGTGGTCGCATGAATGTTGGCTGATATAGTTAATCGTTTGTAGTAAGGGGATGCTGGTGAAAAGGTTTCAATCAATGCATGCATTCTCTTGTATCCCTGTGGCAAAAACACCTTAAATCAAGAACTGACAGCGCTCATACTCGGTATTTCAGACACTTTAAATTAAGAACTGACGGCGCTCATACTCGGTATTTCAAACTGGGTTCATTGCGAAACTTGGGTTCATTTTGCATAGAGATCAAGCCACTTGAAACTATAACCATACTTTGCCGATACCACTTGTCATAAAAGTAATTATTATTTATTTAATTATTATTATCAATTTAATTATCAGCAATAAAATAATTATGTTTTTCAAATTTTTTATTTTTTCTAAGAGTCACAACTTTAGATTCATTTTAAATTTTCTGCTGTCGTCGTAAACACCCAACTCCTTTTCCCGATTGCTTTTATTAGGAACATCAGCTTTCTTTAAGAAACAAACAAACCATTGTTTTACAAGTATTTTTGTCATTAGCAACTGAAGTTCTGTAATGACCACCAGATACTACATCAAACTTTGGCAGCGGCCAGAACATCTGTAATATTGAAGTAGAAATACCGATGTACCGATGTACCGTTGCCCGGCATTGCCAAAAAACCTTTCTAGATCTTGATCAAATGATGAAGACAGCACATACTGGAACTGATGATCAGAAAGAAGTACCTCAGCAGAAGCGATTTTGAATTTGGTCGTCACTACAAATGCATCAGCTGTGAAATTTGTGATCTTGCATTGTCGTAGAGCAGACCCATTATGACAGCTTGCAGTGACATAATACATGCATAAGAGCTTCTGAAAGCTGTCACACTGAAGCTGTCATAACGTTCTACCGACGTCAAAAGTTCATGAAACGTACTGTGCTTTTGTTTACGCACAGTTTTCTTGGTCAGGGTAAGTAACGCTGCTACTGTCTTTTCATAGAAAACTTGGCACATCAAAAGTACACTCTGACGTTGCAGGAATTTGGGATGTACTGTAAGTAAGGTTAGTGAAACGTAAAACTGTCACAGTCTTCTTTGTACAGGGAATTCACATCACAGCAGTGCGCAACAAAACTTTGACCTTCTCCAGTAAAAAGTAGTTTTTTGGCTCGGTGATCCAGCTATTTCGAATGTCTAGTAAGTTGGAATAGGGCATTGGGACATGATGGAACACAATGTTGGGGGTTTATCGATCTTGAATAATCTAGGTTTCTGTATGTCAGTAATTAATAATTATCCTATTTAACTCTGATAGGAGTCGTCGTGGTGCTTGCCTAATTGGTTTAGACAAGAGTCTTGTGTATCGATTCGACGAGTTTCCAGACCTGATTTTCACTGATCATTGTCTCTTGTTGAAGAAACATCTACAATACCAGCCATAAAAACTTGAAGATGGAATAAATTATAATCTACGTGTATGCGTCGTGCATACAAAATGAGTCTTCTATTTATAATATTACTTGAGCACGTAAAACATTGAAAGCTGTGCCGAATGATAAATTTTAATCAATCAATCAATCTTCGTTTAGCGTCCAGAGACCTAGTTTCCTAAGGTAGGACGTTGTTTTCTTTGCCATCAACTATTTGCGCCAAATTAGACGATCAGTTGTATCCATTTCATTTAAATTTAGAGCTTTCATGTCTTGCTCGATTGTTTGCGACCAGGACTTATTTGGACGGCCTTTGGGATGTGTGCCATGTACTTCAACATCTGCAAGAGAAGTTATGGCACTGTTTCCACTTCGATTGACATGACCAAACCACCGCAGACGGTGTTGCCGGCATTCGTCCTTTATATCATCTAAACCAGCACGGCGCAAATTTCGGTAGATTTGATGTGGTCCTTCAGACTAATTTGTTGCATGCATCGAAGCATTTTCATGTTGGTTCGTTGAAGTTGTTGTCCCAGTTTGGTTGTCATTGGCCATGTTTCTGCACCATATAACAAGACCGGACACAGATTTATAAAGTCTTGATCGTATTGGTAGTGGGATGTCACGCCGCATCAATATAGAGGCAAGAAGATGCCATTTATTCCAGGCTGCACGGATGCGTGCTCGAACGGCAGCTTCAGCTGTTCCAGTACAATCCAGAACATCCCCTAGATATTGAAACGATGTGACTTTCTCTACCTTAATGGCTTCAACAACATTGCTATTTCGAATTTGTTGTTGTGGATTGATGCAAGGGAGACAAACAAAATTGGACACTTTAGATAAATTACCTATTATTTTTGAACAACGTTTGTGACACCACTGGTTACACTGCTGACACTTGAATGAATTGTTACCTACACCAGCTTTACAAACTGAACTGGTCCATCGTCCAGTAGCTGTGGATTGGATGGGTTCACCAGTGTTCATTGCTTTGGTTTTGCTGATGTTGACTTTGAATCCATGATCGGCCAGTCTGGTGTTCCAATCTTCAAACATCTCTGCTGCATTCTGCTCAGACGTGGCTGTTAAAACGATATCATCAGCATATATTAGATTCCAAATGTCACCAGTGCTTATCGGTTTTGTGACTTCTTCCATCACAGTTATAAATAACAGTTGACTGAGAATCGAGCCTTGGTGAACTCCTACGCCGATGTCAAATGCATTTGTGTTTCCAACTGTTGTGCTGACGAAAGTCTTAGTATTCATATACATTTCTATCACAAGTCGAACAAGATATTCTGGAATGAGTTGTCGACGTAGACTCCACCTGATTGCTTCACCTGGAACTCGTTCAAATGCTTTTTCAAGTTCTACAAAAATGTGTTATAGTTGTTGATGCTTTGCGAGGTACATCTCTTGCAGTTGCCGTATGATGTGAATTGCATCAATTGTTGATATCCCCGCTAGGAAACCAAATTGATAATTTCCGATTGTGATGCACGACGTTAATCTTCTCTCAATGATTTTCTCGAAAATTTTCAGGGAGTGTTCTAACAGACGTATACCCCGATAAGATGAGCAGTTCAATGGATCACCTTTGCCTTTGTATAGCGGAACTGTCATGCTATAATTCCATTCAGTCGGCATTGAGCAATTTCTCCACACTTCACGGCAAAGTTGTAGTAACGTTTGGATACCTGCAGTACCAGATGCTTTGATAATGTCATTTGTGAGTCCAGAGGGCCCTGCTGCCTTTCCATCCTTCATAGCTTTCAGAGCTTCTGTAAGCTCCTCTACAGTGATGTCTGGAATCGGACCTTCGATGGGTGGAGCGTCAAAATTGACATTGATGGGATTTGTTTAATTTAACAGACGGTTGAAGTATTCTCTCCACTGTAGCTTGATCTCATCTTGTTCAAGAACCATCTCATTTTTGTAGTTTTTGATACACGAGGCACCAACAATGTCTTTTTTCGTCCGCTTTGCTTGTTTTGCTATACGATACAGAGATTTCATTTGTTCACCTTTGCTTTTAGTGAGCCACTCTCTGCACTGATCTGTCCGAGCCAGTGCGACTTGACGTCTTGCGTAGTTGTTCTTCTCACGGAAAATTTTATGGTCATCAACAGACTTTGATTTTTGCCATTGCTTGTATGCAGCTTTCTTTTCAGCTATTGCATTTTGTACACTGTCATTCCACCACCAAGTGTCCCGTTCATGCTGACGTTTTGTACCAGTTTTCCCCACAAACTGTAGTTGCAGCGTTAATCAAAACTGTTTTGTATGTACTCCAATCTGTACTAGCTTGCGATTGGTGGCCTAACTGTTTTGCGACAATCTGTTGAAATTTTTCTCTATGAATATTGCTTTTCAGCTTTCACGTTTTGATTCTCCAAGGCATTTGTTTAGACTTATGTTTTGACATTTCAACAACCAGGTCTGCCACAAGAAGTCTATGTTGGGCGACACATGATTCGCCAGGTATAACTTTGACATTTATGAATAGCCTTCGGTGTTGTTGTTAGACAGCGAAGAAATCAATTTGCGTGGCTGATGGTCCACTATGTTATGAGATGTTCCAACCTTTTTCTAAAATATGTGTTCAGTAAACAAAACCCGTGACTTTCAGCAAACTCAAGGATGCGGTTGCCATCTTCTTCATTCCGTTCAGTTGTCAAAACCATCTGTTTTCTCTCCAACGAGGCAATCGAAATCGCCTCCAATCAGGATTGTTTCAGATTTTGGTATTGTTGAGATGGTGTCAGAAAACGCAGCCCAGAAGTCATTTTTCATCTGTTCTGATTCGCCTGTCTGTGGTGCGTATGCAGAAAAAATTATCACTGTTTGCTTTTCAAGGCGAAGCTTGATCCACATGAGACGTGAATTAATCCTTTTAATATCCGTACTTCTTGTGCTAGCGGTTCTCTGACAAAAATTCCAACACCATGTTTGGCCGTCTTTTGACCATTCCAGAATAGTTTATATTTTTCTTCTTATTATATATATATATATATATATATATATATATATATATATATATATATAAAGGTTTATATGCAAATATATGAACACACAATATTATTATATTTTAATGATAAATTTTAAGATCATATATAAGTCCCTTACATCGACACTAGTGAAATACTACCAAATAATGAAAATCAAATTAAGTGATTTTCAATATCTAATAAAAGACAATTTAATTTAAATAATTTTTAATATAAAATAAAAACAAAATTAAAAAATCAAACAGGGTTAATGGTAACACTAAGTTCAAACTTATTTACTAGTTATTTTCAAGCATTTAAAATTTGTAAAATTACTTTCAACCTCTTCTTTTATAAAATACCAACAATAGAATATCCAAGTTTTTGTATATATAAGTATGTAAAAAAATGTATGTAAACGAGTTGTGCTTCTGAAAAATTAACAGCGGTTTGTCGATAAAAATAATAATTTGAAAAATCTCTGCATTATTCAATTATTCATATACGTAGAGAGTACCAAAAAAAATTATCAAAACCTGAAGCTGTTATTCCTAACAAACCCATTGAACCACATTGCTTCCAAAATTTCTAAAATGTTAAAATGAGTTTTCAACTGAATTGAAAAATGTATTCAAGTAACTCACTCTGAATTCTAAAAATTTATCTTCTTTATCAATTTTGGCTGCTTTTGGTGCTAATTCCTTTTGAGCAAATTGAAAAACAGTTTTTCTTAACTGAAAATTAATATTAAGAAATATTGTTTAAATTTTCGGGCAATAGTTGATGCGTTGATAAACATGTCATTAAACCGGGACAAAGACTGGGACTTATTCACCAGAATGTTACCCGTACTAAAAAATTGAATTTTCAAATAAAGTTAAAAAACTACTTATTATATATGTTATTTTATGAGTGTATTAAACTTTTAAATAAGCATTACTTAATTAATTATATCTTAATGCAGTGGTTCTAAAACTAATTTCTTCCACTGCCCAGTATTAGAAAAAAATTTTTTTTAGAACCCCTCCGCTTTAAAACTTTACATATTAAAAAAATGTAATAAAAATTAGCTACTTAGTAAGTCGATGTGCGTTATAATAATAATATATATTATTCTCATATATCTGTCAATCAATCAATCAATCTTCGTTTAGCGTCCAGAGACCCAGTCCACCGAGGTAGGACGTTGTTTTCTTAACCATCAATTTTTTGCACCAAATTAGGCGATTAGTTGTATCCATTTCATTTAAATTTAGAGCTTTCTTGCTCGATTGCTTGCGACCAGGACTTCTTAGGACGGCATTTGGGACGTGTGCCAGGTACTTCAACATCTGCAAGAGAAGTTATGGCATTGTTTCCACTTCGTTTGACATGACCAAACCACCTCATTGTTTGCTTTTCTAGGCGAAGCTTGATCCACATGAGATGTGAATTAATGTTTTTAATATCCAGTACTTCTTGGGCTAGCGGTTCTCTGACAAAAATTCCAACATCATTTTTGGCTGTCTTTTGACCATTCCAGAATAGTTTATATTTTTCTTTGTCTGAGTTGACGTGACAAACACCATTCGATTTCCATCGAGTTTCGGGAGGCAGCAGATGTCAATCCTTCTACGCTCGAGCATTTCTACGATTTCCATGCTGCGGCCAGTCAGTGATCCAACATTGAGCGTTCCAAGTCTAAGTACCATAAAGGGGCCATTCTGAATTTTTCTGCAAGATCCCTCCGCTATTGCATACTTCCCAGGATTCTTGGCACCCCTTGACCACTTAAGGCCTGCTGGGGACTAGGGGCCGTTGTTTTTCTTTGTGATGGCATAGGAATAATTTGGAGAAAAGTTTTTACATCCGGACACTTATCCTGATGACAACCACCAGTTATAAGCGGTGGGCCTAATCTTTTGCTTAAAAAAACGCAAAGCAGCGTGGATGCAGTTTTACAGTTTTATGTCATGCCCAGGAAAAAAAAAATTATAAGAAAATTTTAATAATAAGTGCATATGTCGTTAAAAGTACTCAAAAATAAGAATTTAAATATAATTTTTCACAAACATTCAAGTTTAAATAGATTTTCAAGTACAATTTTTGGTACTTAATTATGTAATTAAGTACTAATGTACAAATGAACTTTAGTACCTGTCTTAACTGATATATACAGACAATGGTTTTTGAAAATATTTTCGCACTTACCCGGGCTTTTAACTTTAATGTGTTCATCTGTTAACATTTTGGTTGGTGCACCGTTGTTTAACATTATAAATGCATCTAACGTGCTGAAGTTTATACTTTTTGCAGATACTACTCTTCTCTATTATTATTCTAACTTTGATTTATTGGTTTCTACTATTAACAAAGAATTATTTCGTGTTTATGATTGGGTAGCCTCTAATAACTTTAGGATTAATATTGACAAAACAATAGATATTTTTTGGCCCTAAAATTAAAACTGTAAATTTGTATCATCCTATTTTATTGCTAAATAATAGAAGTGTTAAAAGAGTAAATGCTATTAAGTTTTGGGGAGTTGTTATTTCTGGAAATTTAAATTGGTTAGATCATATCAGGGAAATTATCTAAAAATTTAGGATTAATATATCGTTTGAAACATAGGTTTCCTAGGTTCATATTGATGACTTTATATAACTCTTTAATATTGCTTTATCTAACTTACTGTATTGCTATCTGGGGATGCAGTTCTAACACTAATCTTCATTTGCTAAGTTTGAATCAAAATTTTTTTCTTACAATTATTTGATCTGAACAAATTTGGGAATATAACTTTATATTATAATTTAGCTGGTATTTTAAATATAAAACAGTTGCATATTATTTATTGTTGTTGTTGTTGCCCCATTCTGGGGGACCCCTAGGGTTCCAATCGAGGCCGGAGCCAAACCGCCACTGCAATTGGGTTTCTCCAGAGGTCTATTGGTTGTAGTTTTGTGGTGTTTTGTGGACAGCTAAACAGATGCGGTACATCATCTGTATGATTGTTGCAGAAAGGACAGATGTTGAGGTGCCCACTGTCGATTCTGTTTTTGTAGCTGTTTAGAAGAATACTATGGCCAGAACGGAGTTGGGCTAGGGTCTGTCTGATTGCCCTGGGAAGTGATTCTTTTGTTGGATCTATTTTTGGTGTAGGTGGAGGCCATCCGTCAAGCAACAACAACGGCGACTGATACGTCTCTGTGGCGGCTTTGATGGTGTTATTGTGAAGTGTTTTTAGAGCGGACTTCAGAGAATCGCTATTTATGGTTGTTGGTAGAACCGCATGGGTTGTTGAAGCCCATTTGGAGAGGAGGGTGGTCTTTATGTTGCGGTGCGGGTGTTGTTGCGTGATGATATGATGGCACGGGTGGCTAGGGTTATGGCATAGGAGTAGGAATTGTGAATGCTGCCTTACCGTTAACATCTGACATTCTGAATGAAGGTGTCGTTCTGAAGCGATCACATGGCAACCTGTAATCAGACGTAGGGCGGCATTCTGGGAGCGTTGAAGACGTGAGAAGCTTGAATCTGATGTCAGTGATGCCCAGACAGGACAGGCATACTCGATTGTTGAACGACCGATGGTTTTGTAGGTCTGTAAAAGAGTTTCCTTGTCCTGGCCATAGGTTGTATCACTTAGTGACTTTAAAATATTATTCCTTATTGAGGCCTTGGATGCTGTTTCTTTATGGTGTTGTGAAAGGACAGCATCGTGTCTAACGTGAGGCCTAATATTTTTGGATTATGTTCGAGTGGTAGTAAATTGTTATTTATTTTTATTGCTGGATGATAGTGATACTTTGAAGTGTGAGTGGTGAAAAGGGTGACTGTGGACTTGGAGGTGGAAATCTCCAAGTTTCTGCTATTGAAGAAGTCGTAAAGCTTCGGAAGGTAGCAATTGAGCCGGTGTCAAATCATCTGCATTCGGACCTGTAGTGTAGATTGAAAAATCGTCTGCATAAGAGATAACCTTGACGTCTGGAGGAGGGCTTGGTATTTTGGAGACGTAGTAGTTACAATACAGAACCTTGAGGCACTCCTGAGCGGATGGTGCGTTGTTTTGAAAATTGTCGACGGAACTCTGTTGATGCAGAGCGTCCATGCAGATAGTTTGACAACCAGCGGACGATTGACCGTGGAAACGATGATGACATGAAGTCGGAGATTAGGATGATTAGATTAGGCTCTGGAGCAACTGCCTTCTCGCGGTGGAGCCGATTGGACCGTCAAATCAGTCGATCCAACAAACAGTTGCAACAAACCCTCCCCACCTGGATATTATTTATTCATTAACGCTTTTTTAAATTTTTAAATTAAATTATTGTTACTCCCTCTACAATCAAGTCATTGTATTTAATAACCATAGTACCAGATGTTCAAGACATTACTATGATTTTTATTTATTTAAGCCCAGATCAAATTTTTTTATTCCTTTTTCAATGCATTTATAGGACTCGTTACCGGTTCGTGTTAAAAGTGTACCCTCGCTAGGGTCATATAAGGCTAACATTAATCAGTTAATTTGTTCAAATTATTTTCTTTCATTGTGTACTATGTTGTATTTTATATTATTATATATTTTATCATTTATGTCATGAACTTGCATCATCATTAATTTGTCATATTGCTTTCTTTTGTTTCTGTTTTAGGGGATAATTAAGATTCTATCATTATCACTACTTAGTTAAGGTGGTCTGCACATACAATAGTATCGTGATCTCCTGTGCTTTTTTGCCAAATAAATAATTATTGAATATATATATATATATATATATGTGTGTGTGTGTGTGTGTGTGTGTGTGTAAATGTTGCACAATCACCCAATATAAAATAAAATCCCTAACCAAATTTTAATACTTAAGCCCCCTACAAATGTCAGTTTTTGACCCAGTTTTAACTGTGCAAACAAACCGGTTTTGGTTTGAGCAGTTAAAACGGATCGTGTGTAGGTCATTCAGTCGAACTGTACAGACCTCATAACTGGCTTGTACAAATTCAGATTCATCCTGAAATTTTAACTGAACTGAGCAAAAAGTTTGACATGTGTATCAAGCACAGTTAAGTAAGCTGCATTTTCATTTAATTTTATCATCACATTCTTGTCGCTATGTAGGCTGTTACTATGGACAAAATTGGAAATTGTTCCATTTTGAATGTTTTGTTTTGCGTTGAACACACGAGAACAAGATTGTCTGCAAATGATTTTGTTCTATTTTGAATTTAAAAAAAAGAGATGTCAAATATGTATGATTTTATTGATTTATATAGATCATTACTAATAACAGTAACAATTTTAAATAAAATCTACGTAAAAATCATAGATGTATTATGAAATCCTATTCCATATCTATGGACAAAATTAAATTTTAAAAATTACAAATTTAAAAAAAAACAGTGTTAACAGGAGTAATAGGAGCACAGATCTTCAACATTACCAAAATATTTAATTATAAGATTTAATAACTTTTTAATTTATTTTGAAATGTCAACACCGAAAAACTGAGTAAAAAACTGACTGTAGAAACTGTGTAGACAAGCTATTTCAAGCCAGTTCACGCAGTTTGCTAAAAAAAAACTGACGTGTGTAGGGGGCTTAAAAAGCCAACTGGTCAGAACCATTTTTAAAATTTTAAAATATGCCTGTGCTTCATACATTAAAATGATTTCTTCAACTTTGTCTATTTAGTTTATCAATCAGTATTATAATTATCTTATTAATTCAAAACAATTTCGGCATTCCATATTTACGTACATGTTACATCAATGCTTGTAAATTTAAAAATTACATTCATGAAATTGAAGGATTACGGACAACGTTACCTACCGTTAATTAAGTTGAATGACAAAACTAAAAGTTTTAAGATTTTTTAAGATAAATCAAACTGGCCTGCTTTTTATCTTCATCCAGTCCATAAATGTCATCATGAACTGGATAATAGTCAACAAGATTTCTCGTGGGAAATAATCCAAAAAACTTGACAGCATTATTATAAACTGACGCAAACCGCTTAACACCCGCCAAAGCCATAAGTTTTTTCAGGTCTGGTCCTCTTTTTTAATAATAAGCTTGCCAGATACTAGAGGCGTGTTAAGTTAGTCAAGGAATTTACTACTAAGACAAAGGGTTTTAAAGTAGCATTCTAATTTTATGACATATATTTAGAATACCTATATATACAGACTCATAAGCGCCACAATATTTTCTAAAAATAGTTGAAGAATCAAAATAAAAAATGAAATGAAAATCTACAAAACACCACATCCTAAAATATGTCAAATGGACTAGTTCACTATAGTTTAAATGCTCAATATATTCAGTTTAAAAAGGTTAAAAGGTCTTGCTTCTGATGATTCAACAACACACCAAAAACATCCTATATGAATATATATGATGTTTCGCCTCACATACGAAGCCTGTGATAGGCAAAGTTTTTTGTTTTAGTTGAATTCAACCCGGTCAATGCGAAACAACATAAGGCAACCTTAATTACACGTTTATCACGCCGCCTAAAAACATAAACGAAAAGTTTGAAGAACAAAAATTTTTATTATAAATTAAGTTGCATGTTATTTATAGTTTAATTTTTATAATAGAAAATAACAGTTTTGTCAGATTGAAATCCTAGCGAGTAAAATTAACAATCCTCAATAATAAATAAAACACCACGAGCTAACGATGTGATTTCGGCGGGCTTTATAAGAAACTGCAATAGCCAGTCTGAAAGGTATTTGGGCTGCTGATGAGTCCTCGGTAGGGACGAAACATGTATCCATCCTGTCCAAACGTATGCTATACTTTTCTTATCCGCTCACTCTTCTTCTTGGTTCGGTGTTCTCAACAAACACAAACGCAACCGCAAAAGTTTTTAGTATAGTATTTTGATAGTATTTATATTCTTTAGTTTCTATATTTATGCGTTTCTACGCCTATGAGATAATGTCATCAATTTTGATGAGGCAAAGTTTATGTTACCTGATTGACGTGAATATTTTTAGAAAGCCTTATGTGAATAGAAATTACGAAATTACTATTACGGTTTTTGATAAGTTTGAGAAGTTTGTTTTATTTCTACTTATTTCAGTTTGCATGAAGAATACAATTTTTATGAAAAGTTTTATATTTTTTCAAGGTACAATTTTTTGTCAACATTAATTGAAGCATTAACAGAAAATTCATTGGCGTATATAGCCGGTCGGGTGCTGTCAAGAGTGTACGCAAACATTGATTGTGAGGTATGCAGTGATAATCTCATAACTCAAACGAGAAGCGATAATCAATTGTAATGTGTTATCACTAAAAGATGTGAGTGTGTATAGTTTCCACCAAAAAGGGAATATACTTGGGAGAGCCCCAGAGACAATGTACAAATTATGATTGATTACATTACTATTATTAGACGATTGCACATTATTACTACACAGATCTTCGGGTCTCTGGACGCAAAACGAAGATTGATTGATTGACATTACTATTATTAGACGATTGCAAAATGTTGTTTTACAATGTAAAAGTTGCCCTGGAGCTGATTGTGGCAGTGACCAGTTGTTTGTACAATCAGAATAAAAATAAAGAAATTCAAGAGTGAAGTGGCTCCAAAACGTATGAATTTTGTCAGTCTATCACAAAATAATGAGATCAAAATCAAGTATAACGTTGAAGTACGGAATTGTTTTCAGTTATTGACGGAAGACATAAATAAATCTAAATATGAAATATTTAGAGATGTCCTGACAGAAAGATGAATTGAATACATTAACAATTTTTTCAATGATATCCGTGATGAAAACCTATTTAAAGACGTAGAAGGACCAAAGATACTTACATCTGAAGTTTATGCCGCACTTTCCAGTATGAAATCAAATAGAGCACCAAACTTAGATGAAATAGTTGTTAAAGAATTTAAATGCCTTGATGAATTTGGCATTGAAAACGTGACAGAAATTTTGAATGAAATATATAACAGCGGCAAAATTTCTGAAAATCTATCCAAGTCAATATTTATTGCATTATCTAAAAAACCTATTGTAACCGAATGTGAACTACATCGAACAATCAGCTTGATGAGCCATCTTACAAAATTTTTCTTGAAAATTCTAGTGACGAGTGTATGAAGCAAAATCAGATCTAAAATTTCAAATTTCCAATGTGGTTTTGACGAGGATTGGGGCACAAGAAACGTTATCTTTATGTCACAAATGATCAGTGAACGAGCGATTGAAATGGAAAGATTTGTTTATATGGGTTTGTTTAAACACGTGAAGCCTATGAAAATATTGGAAAATTTAGACATTAATTAAAAAAACACTAGAATTATCAAAAATCTTTATTGGGATTAAAAACAGCAATAAAATTTAGTAACAAAATGACTAGTTTCGTCGAAATAAAGAAAAGTCTTAGGCAAGGCTGTTGATTTTTTTCAGACTTGTACAATCTCTAAAGTGAGATCATCTTGAAAAAGATAAGACAGAAAATCTACCTGAAATAACCATTGGAGGAGTGAATATAAAAAATGTAAGATATGCTGATGATACAACTATTATAGCGGAATCAATTGATAACTGCAAACAATTGTTCCAAACACTAACAAAACAGAGTGCATGGTTATCAGTTAAAGCAAAACCGTCCAGATCTTCTTCATAATCATTAATGGTAATCAGGTAAAACAAGTCAACAGCTTCAATTCTTTCGGAAATTTGACTACTTCAGGTTGTAAATGTGATTTGGATATTAAAAAAATATAACTATGGCAAAAGGTAGATTCTTTCTGAAATGAAAAACATCGTCATCAACCTCATCAATCATAAAATTAAAATATTAATATTAACAAAATAAAAACTGTTAGGGTGTTACATTTTTTCTGTTCTCACTTACGGCTTTGAGTCCTTGATGATTTCTTAAAAAATAGAAAAAAGAAATGATGCTGAGATGTGGTTTTTGGGAAAAAATTATGAAAATTAATTGGAACTCTCATACTTCTAATGAAGATGTATTAAAACAGTTTTAAAACATTAAAACGGTTATGAAAAGAAGAAATTACTACAAATAATCTCACAAGAGAAGTTAAAGTTTTTTGGTCATATCATGCGGAAAGACGGAATAGAAAATCCAACTACTGGAAAGATTGCAGGTAGAAGAAATCGCAATTAACGAGAAAAAGGGAGAGAGGCATAGTATATAATGTATTCTAAGTCTAGGTATACACCCACTACATCACTGTTAGAGTTTACTTTTAATATTTTGTATTTGTTTTTCTTGAACGTTGTCGTACGTTGTTGCTGGACACCGTTTACTTACGGTTCTCCTTAAGACCGTGCAATTTGGTTAGCGTTACCGTTAGCAGATCTATAAGTCAGGCAGGGCAAATTGCCTGCTCTATAAGCGTAAAAATATGTCGGTACGAAGGTAATGTAGCGGTAATATATCTAATAAAAAGACTTAACGGTGTAGAGTTGGAGTAAAAGCGGAGGTAATGTTTGCGACGGTTTTAACTCAGCGACGGTGAAGCATATGTAAAAGGCGGATTATGAAAAAACCGATTAAATAACAAATATTTAAAGGTTTAATGAAATGAAAAAATATTTATTATTGTTCCTTATTTGTTGTTTATAACATTTTAACTTCATTCAAATTAAAAATTGTATAAAACAATAAAAAAAAACTTCATCATAAAATCGTTATATATTTATTATTATTGATATACCAACGGTAACGAGAAAGTTAAAAAAATCGCCAAAAATCTATTCATGTGTGCATCTTAAAAATATTTGTATATTCTAATAGACAATTTCATCTTCTAAAATACAATATGAAAGAAAACTTTCTCCCGTTCCGTGCACATTCCCAAATATTAGATTGAACGCGTTACCCATACATTTCAAAATTTGCGTCATTGGTAACGAGAAAGTTAAAAAATCACCAAAAAACCATTTATGCGTGCATCTCAAAAATACTTGTATCTTCTTTTTTATCCACTAAAATACCATATAAAAAAAACTTTCTCCCGTTTCGTGCAAATTCCCAAATATTGGATTGAACGCGTTACCCATACTAATTCAAAATTTGCGTCATCGGTAACGAGAAAGTTAAAAAATCGCCAAAAATCCATTTATGTATGTATCTCAAAAATATTTAAATATTCCAATAGACGATTTCTTCCAAAATATCATATAAAACAAAACTTTCTCCCGTTCTGTGCACATCCCCAAGTATTGGTTTGAACGCGTCATCCATACATTTCTAAATTTACGTCACCGGTAACCTTGGTATACCTCTTCTTCAACTGCACTATTTAATAGATGCACCGTTCAGTTGGTTTACATCCTGCAACTAACCTCTTTTCCTTCTTCGTTCAGTTCTAGTACCCTTTGGAAATTAGAAATAGATGACGAAAAATTTCCATCATCCAAAAAGGTAATATTAGACTTGAGGCAATGTTTATTACAAATAAATTGATGTAGCATATGCAAATTCAAATAAATTATAAATGATATATCAATACTCCTGCTGGCGAATTGTTTTCAACAATTGCAACACTTTCATCATGTGATGCCTTGCCGTTGTGCTTCATTGATGACATCAGTGTTATCTACTTGCTGCAACAAACATTGTATGACAGTTATATTATCTTGCAGTATCTTTAGGATATTATCTCAGTTGCTGCGGACGATTGTTTTGTTATCAACCAATCACTTGACTAAGGCATTGTTGTTGCATGTTGTAGGTTTTGTAAAGATTCATTGTTGCCTATTTTCAGTTAACCCTAAAAAGCGTTTACTCTTACGCAATAAGTCATGCAATCTGTGAATTTCAATTTTTTAATGTTGTCACTGGTTTTTTACATTTTCGACAGTGCATTTACCGCTTTCGATTGGTGAAGTTATTTCTCTGATTTAGGCTCCTGCAAGCTTGGCCAAACCAACCCTGTTCATCCAAACTAGGCTGTAATTTAATAATAAAAATGTTGATTCGTTTAATGAATAATATGCATTGCACAGTAATTGAACTATAGTTCTTTAACGCGTGAACAT